TGACTTGATGGCACCTAAGAGCAACAACAATGCAGGACGGCAGACATGAATGATTTTCCTCCGGTTTATAAATTGGTTAATGTGGAGGCTCATCGTGCTTAAATTTGTGTTGAGGACAGGCTCTGAAAGACTTATCTCCTGTGTAAACTCTCCCTGAACCCCACCTCATAAGAGAGAGATTAGGCATCTGCTACGGAGGAAAAGTCATATATTACTAGCTCTCTATTTGTCTTTTAAAATGTAAACGATTTCCTACTAAATAGACGATAGATAAATGGTAACTTTGGTGAAGGGAAGACAGTACACAATACTGGGGAAGCCAGTACAACTTGTACAAGAAAAGTTCATGGAAGCTCCATAGACACATCCAAACTCCCTGAGGGACTGAATTGCTGGGTGGAGGGCTGTGGGGACCATGCCCTTGGGGAACATCTAGCTCAATTGGCATAACACAGTTTATAAAGACAATGATCTACATTCTACCTTAGTGAGTAGCGTCTGGGATCTTAAAAGCCTGTGAGCAGCCATCTAAGATACTCCACTGGTCTCACCCCTTCGGGAGCAAGGGAGAATGAAGAGAACAGGATACAGGGAAAAGATTAGTTCAAAGGAGTAATGGACCATGGCTACCAAGACCTCCACCAGACTGAGTCCAGTACAGCTAGATGGTGCCTGGCTACCACCACTGACTGCTCTGACCGGGAGCACAACAGAGGGTCCTGGACAGAGCTGGAGAAGGATGTAGAACAAAATTCTAACACACACACAAAAGACCAGATTTACTGGACTGACACAGACTGTAGAAACCCTGAGAGTATGGCCCCCGGACACCCTTTTAGCTCAGTGGTGAAGTCACTCCCAAGGTTCACTGTTCAGCCGGGGATTGGACAGCCCCATAAAACCAAACGGGACTAATGAGGCACAGCAGCCCAGGGACAAGGACTAGAAGGTAGGAGGGGACAGGAAAGCTGGTGATAGGGAACCCAAAGTTAAGAAAGGACAGTGTTGACATGTCATGGGGTTGTTAAACATTGTCATAGGGCAATATGTGTACTAACTGTTTAATGAGAAACTATTCTGTTCTGCAAACCTTCATCTAAAGTACAAAAAAAAAAAAAAAGAATTATCTATGTGAGATCAAATTGACAACAGCAACTTAAAAGGTTTGATGGGAAGCATAGGGGGTACTGAGTTGAAGATAGTGTGATGGAATAATTTGGAAAAGCATAGTGAGAATAGCAGCACAACTGGAAGAACGTAATTGATGTCACTGAATTGTACATGTAGAAATTTTTGAAATGGTGTATCTTTGGCTACATATATTTTTACCAAAAAGAAAAAAGGTTTTCCAAGGTCAAGGAGCGAGAATGTGGACTTGTTGTGGAGTTGTTAACCAATGTCATAAAACACCATGTGTACTGACTGTGTAACGAGAAACTACTTGTTCTGTAAACCTTCACCTAAAGTACAATAAAAATTTTTTTAAAAAAAATGTAAATGATTTCCTTTAGGAAACATCTCTGTAGGCCAGTATTAATTTGCATGTTTCTCTCATTCTAATAATTTTCATGTGTCTCTGAATTGGAACTAGCTTTTCTAAACCCCAGGTGCAGTGTGTTAACCAAACTTCTTCTCTAACACTCCACATCACATTCACTAGCATTAGATTATAGAGTCAAGGAAAAGCAGCACGTGTAGATTAACAGAAACTATTTCTAAGAGTTCAGAGGTTTGCTTTTTCCAAAGGATGGGTTAATTCACCTATTGCTGTTCAATTACACATGCCATGGGATCAAAACCATTAGAGGTGTCATATTAGATCGACTCACCGAAGAATATGAATTTTTCTTGCTCCTTTGTCTCTATCAAGTAAATTAATGTCCAGTCACCAAAATTATAGCTCATATGAGGTTATTTTTGATACGCTGAACTAGTAGTATATCTAGTCAAATTAGAAATTGGAAAATTTTGCTGCTAAGTGTATTTTCTGGCACAGTTTAATAATTCAGCTATCCTCACCCTTGGGCAAAATAGCTAGCAGAAATCTTGTTGGCAAAGTCACAGCCAATTGTATTAATTGAATCTATAAATGTCCTGCTTCTCCTGGAATATATGTTGGGATTATGTGTGGAAAAGTAAGGGGTCTAGGACCTTACTGCAGCTATTGTTTCACTAGTATGAGGTATTTTCTTCTTGTGGAGACCTATGTAAGTTTGGAAATGAGGGAAGCCCACACTAAAGTCCTACCCTAAACCCTACAGCAGTTATATCTCTCCACACTAAACCCTACAGCAGCTCCACTACCAGATATTAGAGGAGAAGGGATACTCCTCTTTGTTGTTGTTAATTGCTGTTGAGTTGGCTTTAACTCTTGGTGACCCCCTGCACAACAGAATGAAACATTGCCCTGTCCTGTGCCGTCTTCACAATCCTTGATTTGTTCAAGTCCATTGTTGCAGCCATTGTGTATTCTGAGTGTCCTCCAACCCAAGAGTTCCAGCACTACATCAAATATTATTCTGTTGTGATCCATAGGGTTTTCAATGGCTAATTTCCAGAAGTAGATCACCAGGCCTCTTTTCATAGTCCTGGTCTGGAAGCTCCACTGAAACCTGCCCACCATGAGTGACCCTGCTAGTATTTGAAATACCTGTGGCACAGCTTCCAGCATCACAGCAACATGCAAGTCACCACGGTACAACAAACTGACAGATGAGTGATGTCCTCTAAGCTTTGTTGTTGTTGTTGTTGGGTGCCGTCGAGTTGATTCTGTCTCCTAGTTACCCCATGTGACAGAAGTCTTTCAGTCAGACTTCTCTATGAACTGCCCCATAGAGTTTTCTTGGCTGTAATCTTTAAGGAAGATCATCAGGTCTTTGTCCTGCAGAGCTGCTGAATGGGTTCAAACAACCAACCTTTCAGTTAGTAGCCTAGAGCTTAACCATTGTGCAAACTCTAAGCTTTAAGCACAGCTAAATAAACGATCTCAAAGGTCTATTTAGTAAGAATTCCAAAGAGCTAAGCTAATTGTCACTACTGAGCTTCATTTATCAACCAATTGCTTTTAATTTATTCGTTCTTTGATCACCTATTTTGTGTGAGGCACTGTTCTAAGCAGTTGGGAGACATCAGTGAGTAAAATTGTCTAAAGTCTCTGTCTTTGTGGAGGTCGCATTCCATGGTTGGGGGAAGGGATATAAGCAACAAACAGTAGGTTTAATAAGTAATTCTTTTGGTATGTTAGAAAGTAATATACGCTATAAAAAAAAAGGAGATCAGAGAAAAAAGAATCTGGAGTAAGAGAAGAGGTTACAGCTTACATGGGTTTGGAAGAAATGGTAGTGCCACAGAAATGGTGCCTGCCATCAAACCCTGGGAAAGAGAGGAGTGTGGACAGTGACACTACACATATCTCTATTTTTGGCATAGAAGACCTTTCCAATTTTTAAAAATACATCTTCCCTCCTCCCACCTGTTGGGGTGTAATTCCTGGCCTGTCTCTCAGTGATGGAGATGAAATAAATTATGAAAGAAAATGATGCTGCTTGAGCTCTCAGATCCTATGAGATCCTGCCTAATTTAAGCTCTGGTAAGTAGCACAGTTCCCATTAGTTGTCCCAATTCACAGAGGATGGGGGAAGAAAGCATTCAACTAGATACGCAGTTCAATTCAAAGAGCACTTGTTGATATCTGTTATTTCCCTAGAATGATTTTATTCAACGTAGGTCATACAAAGATGCAGAAGTTCTTTACAGAGTCTTCAACTGTCCTGTAAGACAAACTACAGATATGAACTATCTGAAAGAAAAATAATAGGCAATGCTAAGTAAATGTGTATGCATTCATATGTGGAAGAGAAACATCACTGTAATTTGAAGCTGGCCCAGGGCTTTCTGGACAAAACGAGGCCAAGGTTAGACTCTAGTAGGCTTGAGTGTGGTGGTGGTGCAAGTAGAGGCAATTAGAGCAGAGGCAAGAGCACCCATAAAGACACAGAAGTAGAAAGGTCAGTGTTCCTTGAATAGTTAAAGAAGTCTGACTGAAGGACTTCTTGACTCTGGGAGTAATTAGTCACTGAACTAGACTACTAGGGATCTCCACACATCAAAGACTTAGCAATAAGATGGAAAAAACAAAATATGGCAACCTACATTAGACAGACTGTAATAGCCTCCCTAGAAACACAAAGCTGGACCAGAGAAGCCCTGTTATGGCAGGTGATCCTATCACCTTTTACCTTACAGAACAAATAAAGATAATTATCTTCACAGATTAAAAGCGGCCTTCTTTTGCTTTATGGATATATTCGACTAGTCTACAAGTATGTGCTCACTTCTTTCTGTCGTTATGGCCATAGATTTTTGACTTGAGTCAGGAGAAAGTTTAAATACAGGGACTGAACTGGAAAGAGGGGAAAGAGAAACAAACAGGGGAAATCTGTTAGGAAGAAGGCACCCCCAGTCTGCACTCTTACTGCTTACTGAGGAGCAGGCTGTTTGAGGGAGCCTCTCCAGGCAGCCTAGGATGCTTAGCAGGCAAGCTACCTGATAAGCAGGCTATATTCCTGTAGGTGAGTGCTGAGAAGCTGGTCAATCTGACTGAGGCCCAGCAAACTCTTAACTCCCAGCAGTGAGCTCCGTCCACGTGTAAACCAAGATTTGGGGAAGGGGCAGGGTAGGTCGGTGTGGTTGACACTTTCTTTGGTTCTCTTCTTGGTTCCTCTGGTCATTTCCCCATTTCGTTCCCCTTTCCCCCTGCACACGGATTTTTGACAGACTCCACGCCTAATAGCCGCCCCAAGCAGTCCCCTGCGGTGGCGCCTGCTCCCCTCGCAGCCGCCGCTAAGACCCGGAAAAGTGGAATTTCACTTTGAAACTCACGTGCCGCTTGAGGGCCGGCGCTGGGCATGCTCAGTAGTCGCGGCGCGTCTGGGTTGCTGCTTGCTCTGCACTGGCGGCAGCGCCACCCGGCTCCGGAGCTGGCGCGGGAACGCGACCCTAGTCCACCCCTCCCGCTCCGCCGCAGCTGCAGGGCTTCCAGGAGGCCAAGCATTAACCACCTCCGAGCGCCAAGACACCCATCTCGTCCTCCCCCCGCCTCCCCCGCCAGCTTCCTCCTACTCTTCTTCCTCTCCCTCTCTCTTAGGGAGGTGAATCTGGTGCTTGTCTCAGTCAGCGCCACAGACAAGCTCTGCATACCCCAGCCGAGAACCCGCGAGCGAATCCCCTGAGACCAGAGGACCTTTGGCGGTGGCTCTTTCTAATCTTACTGTGCCTGAAGTGGGGTCGCGGAGGAGTTTCTTCTCCACCTCTCAATGCAAACACTATGCGGAGAGCAGTCAGCTTCCCCGCGCTGTGCCTGCTTCTTAATCTTCACGCTGCAGGTAAGGGGTTGCAGGGCAGGGCGTAGAACTGGAGCTGTGGATGAAATGGGAAACTGCAAATGCTTATGGACTCTAGGATAGCTTGCCTTGCAGAGAAAGCCTTAGAAAGGCAACGCAGGACACTACCTGGCAGGGAAGGGGTGAGGGAGCCATGCACCTGTTGGAAGACTGAGGGGAAAACTTGAGCTTAAAATTAACTATTAAGCCTTCCTTACATATTGAACATTTTCAGTATGAATACAGGTTTACTCCTCTTCCCTCCCCTTCCATATAGACTCCCTGTCCCCGTTTCTAGGTTATGCACTTGACTTCCACTCTTGCAGGAGAGGGACAAGACATCCTGCTGGATGTAACCTTTTCTACTGCAGCGGCTGTATCTATATGCTCTGTTGGTTTAGTGAGAGATCACACGGATGCATTGGCCGTAACCTGATGGACCACATCACCTCCCAAAAGATCTAAATACATGGTTCACATCAAATGCTGCTGCCCCAGGCTCCTTTGGCGCCTGCTCCTGTCGATCGAATTTTCTAAACCAGTAAGGGGGAGGAAAGGTTTCAAATGGTACCCTCTCTTCTGTTTCAGCACCATGGTCAGAGTCCACTGACAGGAAATAAAAACTCAATCACAGTTTCCAAGCTGACAACCCTGGGACAGATTTGATGGGGTCTAGCCAAAAGTGACAGTGAGACTGCTTCCAAATATGAACAGATTTGATCCCACAACCAATGTCAGGTTGTGTATAGAAGCAGACCTTAGGAAGTACACGTGGAATTTTATACGCAATGGCACTACGGACCTTGCTTTTTGGATACATAGTGCCTCTATGTAATGCAAAGACTTGCTCGACTGAATCCTTTATCATTTTTATACACACATGAACCAAAATAAAATATGGTAGAGAGGTTTTAGGAACCCTACTGCGACAGCAGTCTTCCATGCAGTAGTCCTGTAGCAACCAAAGGCTAGGCATTTTCCCTGAGTTCGCTTGTCATCCAATCATACATAATCATTCATTCCTTCAATTAAGATTTATTGAGTGTGTACTATGTTCCAGTCTTCATGGATAAAAATAACAGCTGTTTAATTAGTTATTGTGGTATTTTCTTAAAATAATGAGTGATTTTTTTTTCTATATGGGCAATAATAGGAGTGAAATATGGCAATTTCTTAATTCTAGCTAATGCTATTTTAATGTATTGTGAATCTTTTGAGCAATTAAAGTATAGGAGAATTAAGGCTATAATTAACTACACATGTTAATTGTTATAATTATGATGTTATATTATGTTCTTTGGCACCTTGTGAAAACCAGGATATAGCTATGACTTGGTCATTAAATTATTTGCAAACGGCTATAGTGAATCCTTTTATTACTACATACAATTCTTTAACGTTGAAATGTAAGATAAGAATACAAACGTTGAGTTTTATGTACATGATTGTTTAATGATAGCACTGATATAAATATCCATTACCCCCCAAAAAGCTTCAAGTTTAGGAATAATTCAACTGATGTACCAAAAATACCAAAATATTTTTCAAAGCTAATATATAAACAATCTTAAAAAGCATTCTACCTTGAATGTCACACTTAATATATCTTGAGTAATTATAGCTCAAAAAATAGTAACTAAAATTAAAAATAAGCATGTAGAAAACATCTCTAAATTATTGTGATGAACATTTGGGATAAGGAAAATAGAGGACTTTTATTCAAAGGAAAAACCTACTAGTCTGGAGCCCTAGATTATACCTGGAGCTCTGCCAAATGGTGTATTATCAAAGCCATGTCAATCCATCTCTACTTTGCCTTCTTAATTTACAAAAAAATAATGATTATTCTAGCAAATTCAATTTAATAAGACAATATGTTGAAGAGTTATCTTTTTCAGATTTCAGTTGCAAGATGCTATATAGAAATTAATTATATTCATATTTAATATAGTGTTTTAGATAGGTGTTTTATCACAGCAGATTGCAAGTTTAATATTGTGGTTCTCTTGCCAGTTTCATTTCGAATGCATTTTAATTTTAAACAGAAATTTGTGGGTCACAAGCTGTCATCAGATTAAAATTCATCACAGCTATCTGATAACATTTTCAGGACTTTCCATCAGAAATGAAACAAACACAGATTCCTTGATCTAACCTCCTCTTTATTTGGCCAATAAGAAAGTTAGTGGGTGGTAGGACAAAGACCAAGTAACCCAGTGATTTCTCTACTTGTTGAATGTCTTGAGTTTGGTTCTTTTACAGAAGACTTTTGTCTCAGGACAGAGACAGGCTTTATTACGAAGGGAAATGAATTCTATACACTCAGGCCTTTTTAACTGAAAAGCTAATTGATCCATTTTGGTTATACCCAGGGTACCAACAATTGTTTTATGCTGGTGGAAATAATGACATTGTTTGGAGGCTTTAGGGATGGGAGAAATTGGCTAACTGCATGTGAGTGCTCTTCTTACTGGTACTAGGAGCTGTTGCCTTCAATATAGCCATGCCCCTAATGATAAGGTAGAAAATTATTTTCAACTTGAGTGCCATCTCCAATTACTTGATCATGGTTTCCTGAGACATTGTACAAAAGAAAAAAAATGCTGACCCTGAGTTCTAACTCAATAGGGAAAAGTACTGTGATATATTTGTAATATTTGTGAGAACAAAAATGGAGAGTTAGGTACTATGCCATATAATTGACATCTCTGGGCAAGGTAACCCTGAAGAATTGCTGAATATGGAGCATATTAGAGAAGCTGGACTTAGCTTCTATCCGTGGCAGCTGATTTTCATAGATCTCCTTAATTAAAAAAAATTATAGTTATTGTTTACCCTTTTACAGATGAGACAACTCTTATTCTACAGATGAGAAAACCAAGATCCAGAATAATGAACAGTCTGTTAATAGCATGGTCAGGATGAAAACCCAGGTGTCCAGACCTGTGACTGCATACTGTTGAAAATTACACACTGGTTCTAATAGGTGAGGCCACCATTGAGTTTGTGGTGCCAAATCTCCATTTTTTACTCTTTCTGTGAACTGATATAATACATAAACTCTAATTGAAAAGACAGCTTGGGGAATAGCCAAGAAGGTAACCAAAAGCTTCCCCAATAATATGGATGGTAAAAAACAAAAATCATGTGGAAGATCCACAGATAGCGTATTTTCTTCAGTGTTTTTTCTCTTTCCTTGCCCAAAGAACTCTATCCTGTTTGAGCAGATGATATTACTTATAGGGTAGTATTTTCTCTGCAAGGGAGTGAAGTCCTTGAGAGATCTTAAAAATTCTCATGTGAAAGTTTTTTGTTTTGTTTTTTTTCCCCTAGTGAATGTCTTGCTAAACAAATACAGAAACTGGTTTCAACCCATTACTCTCTCCTCAAGCTCTGGGAAAGACTCACAAATTTCCTCTTTGTACTTACTGCCAGCCTTTCTGAGTGACACAAAGACTGCCTTCAGTGTGTCCCCTAAGCTGCTTCCTCATTCTCAGAGAACTGTGTAGTCAATCTCTCTAGTCTTTTGGAACATAGGTTCCTATGATGGAGTCAAGAGGATCTGGGAGGTCATTTTCAGAAGCACCATTCTCAACGGAAAGCATAGACTTCTAGGAAAATGATACTTCCTCATTTTTTTAAGATTTCAAGATACCTATTCTCAATTAATAGTTTCTTAGATCTCCAGAATCAGATTTTCTTATTCAAAATCACCTCCCAGGCTTTACAATGGCCCGGTCTCTGTTTGATTCTGTCCTCCCATTAGATCTCTGATCTCATCTCTCACCAAAAAAAAAAAAAAAAAAAAACCCAAACCAGTTACCATCAAGTTGATTCTGACTTATGGTGACCCCATGTGTTACAGAGTAGAACTGCTCCATAGCAGTTTTCTTGGCTATAATTTTTAGTAAGGCAGATTGTCAGGCCTTTCTATTGTGGCGCTGTTAGGTGAGTTTAACTATCAACCTTTAGCAGTTGAGTACAAATCACTGCACCATCCAAGGACTGTCATCTCTCACTATTCTCTTTATTATTTCTCTCAAGTCACATGGGTCTCCTTTCTGTTGCTAGTTGCCAGGCACTCTCCAACTTTATTTGCATAGGTCTTTCACCATCTGACATACATTTTATATATTTGTTTTGTTTACTGTGTTTTTCCTCTCCTCATTAAAATGTAAACTCCTTAAAGGCAAATAGTTGTATCTATTTTATTTACTGTTGTATCTGTTGTAGATCCTGCCTTGCCTGGCACCTGGGGCCAGTGCCTGACATAAAAATTAGCTACTGAAAAGATTAAATAAATAAACGCAGCATGGTGGTATTGATGGTCTCTCTTTTTTGCATTTAATTTCTTCTTGGCAGCTATGCAAGACACACCTAGTCAACTCAGCCCCTTTCAGAATGAACTTCAACAGAGCTCATCTGTCCAAAACTCATGGTGTGCCTCACATGCTTTCTCTTACCGAGTTCGATACCATTGTGAACTGAATGAGAACAAAGGATGGGCTTGCATGAGACCAGAACTGCTTATCAACTTAGTGACAAAGTTCTTCAAACTGATTGTCCTATGCTGTACAGCCTAAATACTTTGTTGGTTGATGACACTTTTCACTTCTTAATGAAATGCCTTATATAGGTGTACATGGCTATAGTGATATAAAAACATTTACATGGCTTATTTACAAATAGAGTGTTTAAAGCACTAGAACAAACCTTACTACTTCTTTGGCATTTAAGAAGCATATCATCTATTGTTGTTGTTGTTGATAGGTGCTGTTGAGTCAGTTCTAGCTCATAGTGACCCCATGCATGACAGAATGAAACCGCCTAGTCCTGACCCATCCTCACAATTGTTAATATGCCTGAGCCCACTGTTGCAGCCACTGTGTCATTCCATCTTGTTGGGGATCTTCCTCTTTTTGCTGACCCTCTACTTTACCAAGTATGATGTCCTTCTCCAGGGCTTGATTCCTCTAGATAACATGACCAAAGTACATGAGATG